ATGAACATCACCCTCCTCTTTAATAGTGGACTCCTTTGTAATATCTTCATGTCTCTACAAATGGATGACCATGACCGGGTCAAGTAGAGTAAGGGTCAAGTATGTAGAAGGAAAAAAGTGAAACATTAAATTTTTAAAAAATTATTCTCTCGTTCGTTATTATAAAAAATGATCTTGAACTTCACTACATTAGCTGTTATCAGTGACAAACTATCTGTTAACTGATAATGGATAGCAATGTAAATGACACACCAGGGGAATGTATCACAACAGTTTATAGTCTAGCCTTGTAAATCGCATAGACTTCCCAGTTATCTCAATACATGAAGCAAAGTTTTCAATAATAAATGATGTCTACAACTTTCTAACACGCATGAGAAGTTGGTGAGTGTTGGATCTCTGATGACTCTGAATCAACATTCAGAGCCGTAGTTGCTATTGTATCTATTGCAGTGAATGCTGTAAGGACAGAAGACTGAGCTGGAAGGGTGTGTGACCCTGGATACTCCCTGCAAAAAAATCCTTTCCCTCCCATGAAATTATTTATGTCACTTGGTGTTTTGTATTTTATCACTTCGGCGTTTTTTTTTTTGTTTTTTTTTTTTGTAAGATAAAAAGTGTCTGTCTAATGAAAAGGTCTTGTTACTTTGGTTCTAGTTAATCTAATGTTGCTGAAATTCCAAAATTTGAAGCGAACCTCCTGTACTTTGCTTACGAAAGCTGGTCTGTGTTATTGCTCAAAGTCTGGCCATAGAATAAGCCTGCTTTAAAAGTGTTGGAAGTCCCAGGGCCAGCTCCAGAAAAAGTTGGGCAGAAAGCCCTGTTGTCATCTTTGATTCTTAATATTCATAAAGCGCACTTCAGTGCTGCTTAATTTCAGCTTTCATAACACAGGCACTCCAAAGTGTCCCCAGGTCCATTGATAATCTCAGGGTTTTTGTTTTTAGATTTTCTTCTCTCTGATTATCCTGCTTTATTCCAAAGGGGAGCTTGAGGAAGAGGGGCAGCTAGCTGTTTCTGGCTGTGAATTTGATTTGATCATTTCTATAAAAGACAGACTTCAGGTGTCTGGGTTTGCTAACTTGCAGATTTCCTGTCCCATCAGCTTTTTCCTCCATGTCTTGGGGGATCTGATGGGTAGAGCCGTCAGGGACTGTGCTGGGTTCTCCCTTTTGTAAGTGTTCCTTGGCTGTAGGTAAAGAACACCACTGGGCAAGGCTAGGCCTAGGAGAAATTTCAAGTGGACAGACTTCCTGCATTCTAAAAATACCTGAGATTTTGGCTGTCTACAGGAAAGGGAGATTTCCTCTGAAGACCATTCAGACTTGGGATGAATATTCCCTTTCTTGACACTGCCCACCTTGAGCCACCAGGAGGAATACAATATTCTATTTTGTAATGTACAGAGATACCATCTGTAATTTAACAGGGAGTGTATGTTTATTACCCATCTATTTTCCTGTATAAATGTTGGGATTTTGCAATAAATGGTTCTTGAATGCTAACTCTATGCCAGCACTCTTTCTAGGCTGAAGGTTCTGATCCCCTTATAATCTTAAAAATTATTGGGGACCCCAAAGAGCTTTTATCTAGCAATATTTATCCATTTACAGATTAGAATTAAGAAATTAAAAATATTGATCACTTAATTTTAAATTAACAATAAATCTACATAGTAACACTAACATTTATAAATGTTATAAAATAGCTTTATTTTATTTTTTAAAAAGTGAGAAAAATGACATTGTTTCACATTGTTGCAAATTTTTTTAATATCAGGCTTTATTCAATAGCTGGATTGTGATACTCTGCATTCAATATGTTATATGTTTTGATTAAAGTATAGAAAGAAAATCTGTTTCTCATATAGCTATGAAGTTTGAAAAGGAGAAGTATTTTAATAGCCTTTTTTAGATAATTGTGGATAATCTTCTTTGATGCTTAAATAAAACTTTATCAGTAAATTCTTAAAAGTTGCAATTAGAAATTTGAAACCATATCAATGAACTCTTTTAAATTAAAATCTACTGGTCTACTAGTATCTTTCACTTGGAATGGATTCTTTAACCATTCATAATTTTGTAACTTCATGCATTGTTTACTGGGAAAATGATAGATCACTGAGTTATTTAGAGTCTAAAAGTCACCACACTACCTTTTTAAAAAAGAAATTCTCACTGGAGGGTATTTTTTTACTGACCCTAGAGAGAGAAAAAGGAGGAGGGAGAGGGAAAGGAAGATAGAGAGAAAATTATTGATATGAGAGAGAACTAAGATCCAGGAATCAAATCCAATATCTTTTAGTGCACAGGACAGTGCTCCAACCAACTGAACCATACTCTCCAACGTGCACCCTTTTCTTAAGAAGTCAGTAGATGTGGGCTTTCCCAGGAAATGGAAATGACTTTTGCACAAGGCAATTCCCTTTCCTGGGGAGGGACTTGGCTGTAATCCATCAACAGCTTACAATTTTGGTTGGAGGAAGGGGAGCCTTGGTGCTAATAGGAATCTGGGTACCACACCACAACATCTACCATGCTTAGCCTCTCTGATTTTTCTTTTCCTTATTTATAAGTAAGATAAAGATCAGAACAGTTGAGTGACTCAATTATAGTAATGTATAAGAAAGGACTTTATTAACAATATGAGTATACAATAGTGATTGTTGATCTTACAGAGAATTTATGTGACTTTAGTGCATCTACCACGAACCCTATATAATATTTGAACCTAATATTAGTTTTTTTCCATAGCTACCCCTCCATATAGCTAACCTTTCCTACATGACTATAAATAATATTTGTCACATCCTGTTTTTCTCCTCTAGAGATCACTATCATGCATAAATGAACCATGTTCCTATGTTAGCAGATAAAGAATTTACCTTATCTTACAGGAAATTATTCTTTTGCTTTTCATTCATTGCTGTCTCTCTTATACATTTAGAAAAGTAGTCTAGGAAATTCTTGGGAGAAAGGAAAGAATTCTATAATAGAATAATTTTGGGCAATAGATTTTTATGCAAAGTTTACTTACTCCAAGATTTCTTGGAGCCTTTAATAAATTAATTATCTTGTGACCTCTAAGGATGAATTATACTACAAGGCACAAGACTGCCGAGAACCAATTCCAACATGTCATATAATTACAAGAGTTTCATCAAAAGATTGGTGAAGCTTGGGAGCTCAACAAGGGTTGAGTCAAATGTAGTTTACCTGTTGGAATGACTGAAGGGCATTTCCCCAAACCTGAATAGGATTGTTTGCTGCCAGACAGCTCAGGGCATTTTATTGCCTCCTGTTGGCCAAACACCTGGACACCTGTAGGCTATTCCTCAAACTGACAATGCTTCTGTAAACCTACCCTTTGAAACTATATTCTTTGCAATGTATGCCTCCACCTTGCCTTAGGACAAATTGTGTTAATAAATAGCACGGGGGTCCTAGACAAGGGAAAGTCTTCTAGCTCCTTTAACTGAAGATCCTCTGACCCCAATGCCTTTCAAAATTATCTTTCATCTTTGGACTCCTTCTTGAATCTATGCATCAGTCCCTTTCTCCAGATTGCTGAACCCTCTGTAATGCTGGGACAAGAACCCTGGCACAAGACCATGCATAATGCAAGAATGCATAGATTTTTCAACCAGTGAAAAAGCTGACTTTGAGTCATTTTGCCTAAAATGGGGGAAAAGTAATTCTAGGGCTCAATGTATCTCCACATGTAAGGAAATGGGATAAGAAATGAAAGACATTTTTGGTTTTATGACCCATAAAATTAATCATCTGTCTGCTGACCTTTTATGAAAATGAGATTGTGGAGAGAAAACCAGACTAGGAGTCCCAGACCTGAGTTGAAGTCTTGATTTTGTCATGGCATGACGCACCTCTTGGGCAAGCCATTTCCTCTATCTGGACCTGTTTCCTGCTTAGTTCCAGGTGGAGGTTGGCACCTCTCAGCTTCAACAGTCCATATGCTCTGGCTCCATGTCATTCTTATCTTCTTAAACACAAACTTCCCTATTTCTTGCAAGACCAAGACCAAAGTTTTTCAACTGTTGTTCCAGGCCATCTATTTTTTGATTCCATCCTTTCCAGCCACCTTTTAAGCTCACTTATTTCTCCAATGGCAGGTCTGCATTCCTGCTGCTTATACACATCCAGTTCACATGCAAGGCCAGCCCCAGTATCACCTCCCTCTGAGTCCTTCTTGATTACTTTTCCAGGAATAATTTCTCCTTTAACGTTGATGATCATTGTTGTGTTTTGGCTCTATCCATTTACTGTAGAATACTCTTAGTTTTTCTTTCCCATCTAAATGTTTACCTCCACAAAATACACTGGTAAGATACACAGGATAATTTTAATTATTTTTTTAAATTTTAGGACATGGTAATGAAAAGAACATAGTGGAAGTTTGTTAACTAGTTTTTTGTTTTTTGTTTTTAAATTTAAACACTGGACTTCTCCAACCATTTTCATGGACACATAAGCAATCCAGCTCATTTCCCTTAGATTGAAGATTTCTATTTGTCTGTAGCCACAGTGATAAATGCATTCATAAATTCTTACTTGGGCCAATGTAACAACAGTGGATTTATTTATTAGACAGGTTTCCTTGAGGAAGGGCAAGGAGGCCAGTGTGGCATCAAGAGTGTGGTTGTGGCTATGGAATGGTGACAAGTCACTCAGCTAACGTGGTCTCTTTAGATGCCTGCTCTTGACATTCATGCTAACATTTCCTTATTACATCTAAGTGTTCTGTGTATTTCCATAGTACTCACCAATGTTTCACGAGCATAATCTTATTCACTTCTTATAATCATCCCCTGCAGTAGGAACTAAATTACAAATTAGAAAGAGATATTTAATTAGCTTCCCATGGTCACACAGAGAGTACCCAACAGAACTTGTATTTAAACCAGGACTTTTGCCAGCTGGTGTGGCTCAACGGTTGAGTGTAAACCTATGAACCAAGAGGTCACAGTTCCAATTTCCATTCAGGGCATGTGTGCAGGAAGAAGTCGATAAATGATTCTCTCTCATCACTGATGTTTATATATCTCTTTGCCTCTCCCTTTCTCTCTCTGAAATCAATAAAAACATATTATTTTTAAAAAATAATAAACTAGGACTTTCTGAGTCAGGGGTTAAAATTCTTACCTGGAATGGTCAGGAAGAACACATAAGAAAGTTTGTAGAGTACCCTCCATTTCAGATATGCTATATACATTCTACTTAAAATGTTCAAATTAGTGGGATTTCTTTACAGTACTTTACTGAACTGATCTAAAGAAGACCTCCTTATGTCATTGGTCCACTCTGGGCAGAGAGTGAGTTAGAGCATGGAAAGTGTGGCTCCCTACTTTGGAAGTCCTAAGAGAAAGTATGGTGGAAATGCTGACAACTTCAGTCTGTAGGTATTGATGTGGAAGAGTCCAGGAATTAGCAGAGGTGGGAGGACTATATATGAAGGCAACTTACTTAAGGATATGCAGTATTATAACAGGAGAAGCATTATAATGGCACTCTGCACTAAGCAGCCAGGCCACAGAAACAGCAGTGGCCATCAATGTTACCATGGGCAAGTTACCTAACTTGCCTTAGTTTTCTAAGCCTTATTTTCTTCTGAACTGAATGTAGAAGAATCTGCTTCACAAGTTGTTGGAGGATTAAACAATAGGGTTCAAGTACTGAACACATTTGTTGAGTGATTATCATGTATTAGACACACTTTAGATCTTGGAGACTCAACAGGAAATAAATCCTTGCTCCCAGAGATGGTTTATCCAAAAGAGACACACAATAAATGAAATAAATAAGCAGCCGAAACCGGTTTGGCTCAGTGGATAGAGTGTCGGCCTGCAGACTCAAGGGTCCCGGGTTCGATTCCAGTCAAGGGCATGTACATTGGTTGCGGGCGATCTCCAGTAGGGGGTGTGCAAGAAGCAGCTGATCGATAATTCTCTCTCATCGATGTTTCTAACTCTCTATCCCTCTCTCTTCCTCTCTGTAAAAAATAATAAAATATATTTAAAAAAATAAAAGAAGAAATAAATAAGTAAAAACTTATGATCTTCTTATCATTGATAAATGCCGATGATAAAAATTAGGCAATGAAGTAAAGGAAGGGGTGCTAGTAGGTTAGGAGGGATTAAAGAAGGTCTCACCAAGAAGATTGCATTGAAGCAAATCTAGATACTATAAAGGAGTAAGCCATGTATTCAATAGTTAGGCAAAGAAAAAGTAAGAGCAGGAATGTGCCCAAGGAAGAGCAAGGGGGCCAGTATGGCTGAGCAGAATGGAGGAAAGAGCAAAGTAATAGGAAATGAAGTTAGAATTGGTACTGCCTTATAGGTTATCACAAATACTTTTAATTTACTCTGAGTGAGGCATGAAGCCTTTGGAAGGTTATGAGCAGAGCAGTGACATGATGTAACTGAACAGCAGTAATTTGGCTGCTGTCTTAAGAACAGACTGAGGAGGGACCATTAGGAGACCATGGCAATAATCCAAGCCAGTGAAGAATATCAACGCAGCTGCTCCATAAAAATCACATAATTTCTCCCACTGTCTTGTATGAACATCTGAGCCCTAATTCCCATGTACTTCAGAGCACCGTGAGAAGCTGTGGAGACAGATCTCCCTTGCTCTTTGAGTAGGTCCAGATATGGAACACCAAATACACCCCCCCACCCATAGACCAAATAAAGTCCTTTGAGTCATGCAGCCACTGTCAAGACATATTGAGGGCTTCAGAGACATCCATCCAAAGCAGGGAAGGTTTGCTTCACCAAGTGGAGAGCCTACACCCCGAGGAATGTCAAATCAAGTTTTTCTCACATTGAGATGATGGAAGGGCCTTCTGTTTTATCTAGCATTTGAGAATATCACATTATAGAACAGATGAGGTTTTAGATTCTCTAGGGACCCAGAGTGACACTGGCAACATTGATATAGTTCACCCTGGGATGCCTCACCCTGAAATCTCTTAGAAGCCTGCTTACTAGAACCCCAGAATAAAACACGTGCAAGCCAGTTTCCACTGTAATGAATTCCCCCTAGTTACACAGACTTGGCTTTTCTACTATTTAGAAGCAGGTGATAAGTGGTTTATTAAAAATGATTATTAAAAAGTGGTTCAGATTACCTTAAACAAGCATTGGTAAGATATCTGGCTCCCTCTCACATAGCCATCTGGTCTGCCAAATCATTTCATTCTTTCAGCTAGACATACCTTGCATGAGGTCTTTGACATGGCAGCTCTGTGATTGGCTTTGCCAACCCTGACAGAAAGGCCAGGCGAGCTAACCCTGTGTTCTCCTGCTGAAGCACTTTACTTAAGGCTTTGGTGAGCAATGTAGCCTGCCCCAGGTTATCCCAGACCTAGCAACCCACAACCATGCAAAAACACAGAGACTCCCCCAGAGGCCTTCTGCAACAGTTCCATGGCCAAGTGCAATTTTGGCACCTGGAAATACAGCCTTCTACTGGAAAACTTCGCCTGCTACTCACCCTCTAAGAGCTGGGAAATAGGGCCAAGGTTGCAAAGAGACTATACCCATTGAAAGGCAGCCATCTTAACTCTCTCCCAAAGGAGTGAATGTCCAGGAATTGAAGTTCATATGGCACAGTTATTAGTCTATCTTTCCATTGGGAGCTAATAGTCTCATACATCATTTTGAAATGGTTTCCGTGTTGCTTGGCCCTCTGTAGCCTCTGTAGGATGCAGTGAAGAATCCAGCCCCTTTCTAGAGTAGCAACTCTTAAAGGCAAGGAGCTGGATTGCTTATGTGTTCATGGATACCATTGGAGAAGGTCAGTGGTTAAAGAGAGGGCATTACTGTGTTGCTCATCCAGTAGGAGCAAGATGGTGGTAGCTTTAGTGGCAGCAGCTGCAGGAATTGTGCCATAAAGACCAGTGATATATAAAGCTCATTTTAAACTTGCTTTTTGGCTTAGCACACCAGCCTTTACAAGTATCAGGCTAAGGTGCAAAACTAAAGCATGTTCTCTTCCTAATGTTGCTGTCTTCTCCTCACATTGTCTTTTGGAGAAAAAAGAATGAGCAATAAGGGGAAGGATGGTATAACCCTGGTGCAGATAAAAAAATAAAGACTTAAGGGTGTTAGATATCAGTGAACTCTTTAGAAATACATATAGTAGTTTGACTTCCAAGAAAGCTAATAAAAATACAGATTTTATTCATAAAATCAGAGTATATATAATGAAAAAGTTATAGTTGAGGCTGTCCACACAACCTAAATCAGCCTATAGACAAATAGGAGGTAAGTAATGAGAGTAGTAAATTAATTTTGCATGTGTAATATGACTAAGAATACTGAGTATGTTTATTGTAATGAAGTTAGCTGTGGTTGTTATTTTCAAATACTGCATATAGAAAAGGGACATGCATGTTGTTTTCCAAAATGGGGTAGCCATACCACCATTGAAAAATTAATAATACAGCAATAATAATGCTAATTATTAATACATCAATACAAAAATGTAATTAATAATACATTGATACTAGAATTAATACTTATTAAAAATACAAACCCCCCCACATCAAACCTATGAGTTCACAGATATTAGGGCTCAGTTTTGAGATTAACATAGGTGTTGAAGTTACAATGAGTTGAAAGAAAAAACATGAAGTGGTTAATGGTATAAGTGTATGATGTTATATCATGTGAGCAATAAGGAAACGGTAACCATGTGGATAGCAGATCAGATTTCTGAGTGATCCCATGAGAGAAAATGAAAAACCAATGAGTAGAAGTTCCTGAAATAGGTTTCAGCTCAACATATAGAAGATTTACAATCAGTTCATTGCAATGATAAAATGGGGTACCCCTAGCATGAAGGAATTCTCCAGGCCCAGGAGTGTGAGAGCTCAGCTAGAGAGCACTTGGTGGAAATCTCTGGTAGAGGAGATTCAGGCATCAAATAAGCAATTGGATTAGGTGACATTCAGGTCCCCTATGGCCCTGCTATTGTGGGACTGAGTTCTGCATCCTCTCGTTCAGCACAGAGACTCCTGGCCTTTTTATGTTAAGAAAATCTGTTGTTTGTTTCCCTTTATTTGGAAAATGTTGGGAGGAAATCAACACTATATTATCAGAGATGCCCTGGGTTCCTACTAGGATGAGCTGGTAATGATTGCCTCCAAAGCATTGATTTCAGCAATTAGCCACGGCTCCCATCTCCAGCTGTAACGCATTAGGTAGAACTCATCACCTCATTCATTCTCATTTAGTTTGTCTGTAAAAGAAGACCATGTTCCCCAATAATTAAAATTGGATCTGGAGGAGGAATGAAACGTCCCCAGAAAGGAGAAGTAAAATATAAGTGTATTCTCAGGTCACTGGTTCCTTTATTGTAGTTTTTTTTTCTTCTCTTTTCTTTTTTATCCTCACCCGAGAGTATGTTTTCACTGATTTGAGAGGGAGAGGAAGGCAGGGAAAGAGAAAAAGAGAGAGAGATGTAAGAGAGAAACATCCATTGGTTGCCTCCTGTACTTGCCCCTACCAAGATTGAACCCAAAACCGAGATATGTTCATTGACTGGGAATTGAACCCACAACCTTTTGTTTATGTTTGAAACAACTGAGCCACCAAACCAAGGCTATGTGTTTATAGCCTTGGGTGAGTTACTTAATATCCCTGAATTTCTTTTTTCTTTCCTTTAAAATGGGAATATAATACCAATGCCATGGTGGCTAGGAGAATAATGATTTTAAAGTACATAATGTCATATTTATCATATCACAGGAGCTCATTAATTCATAGGTATTCTTATTTTACCCCCTTCTTTTCATCATGATTACTATTTATGTAGCAAATGGAATTCCTGTGACAATGCTTTTAATTAACTTCTCCACTCAGTGATTCATTCAGCAGACATTTCTGGAAGTGCCTATGAAACCAGGCTCAGTGCCAAGTAAGCACATGATAGTCTCCATTATAGGAACTAGAGGCCAAGCTTGATAACATTGTTTAATTATAATTAATAATACTGTACATTTACCCAGCCCTGTATGTCACAAAATACATTAATATAACATAATACCATTTAAATCATCTTCCAAATCTTGGGATACAGCAGGCT